CTTTCTGTGTAGCATCAACCCCAGAGTCCTTTTCGTCTTGTACGTGGTAGAGTTGAACAGATGATCTGGGGCTGACTGTGGGGTGGGAGAGGCATCACTGTACAGCACACGAGAGAACCTAAAAGGAAGTGTCAGTTTCTCTCAAGTTCCTCAGCCGTCGCGGACGGGAGGACTGTCTCCTCTTCAGGAGCTGGGGCCTCCTTCCTTATGCTGGTCCCCTCTCTCCCTCTGCTGCTCTTCACTTCTGGGCCCCCTGCCCACGCTCTAGGACTCCAAAGTCTTCCCATTCTATCACGCAGAACCATCGCACCCTCACCCACCAGCCTTGCCCTGGAGCTGTCTTACGACCCAAGACATCCCCCAGGCTGCTGAACTGCAGTTTCTCTGAGGGGGATTTGCCTTTCTTCCCCCCTGAAAAATTCCACATAATGAAAAGCAAAAAAGAACAAATGACTCAAAATCCCACCACTGACAAAGTTATGGGGTGAAGAAAAAATCAGTCTCTCACCTCATCCCAGCCCGCTCCCTAAAAGTAGGCACGAGTAACTGTCTGGTGGGTATTTCCAAGAACTTCTATAAGCATGCACACATGTGCACAGCATAAATCATGCTAGACATGGCTCTACAATTCACCTTTTCACTTAAGATATGATGGCCATATTTCCATGTTTGCTTCATCCCTTTTAATGGCCTCCATGGTACGAATTTACCATAATGTTCTCACCCATTTTCCTAGTGATGGACGTTAGGTGGTCCCCAAGCACCCCCTATTACCAGCAGTGTTGTGGTGAAAGCCTTTGACAGGTCTCTTTCCTTCAGGGCTGGGATGAGGCAGGTGAGGCGTCTCAGGCACGCCCAGGCACCTGCTTGACCTGGAAGAGGAATGCCTCCTTGAAGTCTGCACTCAAGGCACCTCTCTTGTCTCACCCTACTCCTGGCCCTATTACCTAGCACACTTCAATTTCTCTTAGCGATACGCGGAATGCAGTAGGGTTCTGATCTCCCCTTCGGTTATCTCTATTTATTGAGTCATTTAACCTTTCTTCAGTCAATTGAAATGGAACCTTATTCTATATTAAATTCTTACATATACATATATATATAGGTTTATTTCTGGGTTGTCTTTTTGTTCCATTAATCCATTTCTTCTCACTCTGCTAGAGTCATATATAAACATATTTTACTGCAGCACTGCTTCTCGCCCCAGCCCGGCTGACCCAGCCCTCAGAGCCAGTCTTTAACCAGAGGTGACGCATCCGGCTTGCGCACTTCCCTCTCCGACACGCCAGAGGCTGTTCACCTGGGAGACCTGCTGTGGATGCGGGACGGTGCGGCGAGCCATATTGTTTTGATGGTACCACACTATAGTAAGTTTTCATACACAGCAGGCCAAGATCCCATCACATACTAATCTTTTTCAACAACATCTTAGCAACTGTTGAAAATTTATTCTTCCATATGAATTTTAGAATCGTCGTGAGAGTTCCACCAGCATTTAAACAGACTTTTTGAAAGTCACGCATCAGATCCTATAATCCTTGGACCAGCCTGATGAAGTAGGTGCCACAGAGGAGGAAGCTGATGACAGAAAGTATGACGTAGCACAATACCTTACCGTACAGGAGGGAACAGAAACGCCAGGTGCAGTCAGTGAGGCATTTGACCCCAGAGCATGCTCTCCAAAGCCCTTACCCCTGCAGGAATGGGAATGAGGGCGCAGCTGCAGAGGTTTTGCGGGGCAGCCGTGATTACAGATCTCTGATGGCAAGACGCGTGCCTGCCGGACGTCCCCACTGTGGCACTCTGAAATCCACCACAGTGACCTTGTTGAGGCCATGCTTCCCAGGCTGCTCCCAGTCAAGGATTCCCCACAGCAGAGAGCAGACCCAGCTGAGTGGCCGAGGGCAGGTTTCGTCGTTCAAGTCACCGAGCTCCGGAGTTGTTGGAATGCTCAGCACATGTGAGGCTCAGGGCCCCGGTGGGCAAAACCTGGGACCCTGAGCCGTGGATCCAGGAACCACGGGATGGAAGCAGGAGCTGCCTTGCCATCCCTCCAGTGACACACTGGAGACTTTGTGCTTCCTGTCCCTGGAATTGTCGGCTGTCTCCAGGGCTGTAGGTCCTGGTGATGGCAAGGGAACCATTGAACTACAGTTCTGCGCCACATAACGATGGTTCAGTCAAGGACGGGCCGCATATACCACGGTGGTCCTGCATGATTACCACCATGTAGCCCAGGTGTGTAGTCGGCAGTACCATCTGGGTTTGTGTAAGTGCCCTCTATGATGTTCATACGACAACAAAATCACCTAATGATGCATTTCTCAGAACGTTGCCCTCATTGTTAAGTGACGCATGACTGTGTAAGTTATGGCTGCCACCAGGGCCCCTTGAACTTATATCCAGGGACCAGCAGGTGAAAATAAGAGCCACCATCCTGGCAGGAGGATGAAGGGCTCCTTTTACACAATAGGCAGGAGGATTTTTTGTAAAACTCAGAGATCCCCTTGGGTGCATCTTGGTACTTCCTGCCCCGTAGCTACTGTGAACTGAGAATCCGAACTGAGAAGGGAGTCAGGACCCTTCAGGAATGAGGTCTGGGTCCCATCACCAGGTAAGCCACCAGGATCTGCCAAGACCAGAGAGAAAAGCGAGGGGAAATCAGACTGGATGTTGGAGGAGGGAGAGGATGAAACTGAATTTGGCCCTGAGATCAGCTGCTGCTTTGGGGGCTGCACTTGGCCCTGCTAAGTTTCTTCTGAGTTTCTCTTGAGGAAGAGAGACATATGGGGCCATGAAGGGACTGCTACCTGAAACTGTGGGGAGAGGCAGATACGTGGCAGGTTTTGGATTGAATTATGTTCCCCTAAAAGTCATATGTTGAAGTCCAAACCCTGAGTGCCTCAGACTGTGACTATATTTGGAGATAGGGTCTTTACAGAGGTAGTTAAGATGAGGTCATGAGGATGGGCCCTAATCCGATGTGACCGGTGTCCTTAAAAGAAGAGGCGATTAGGACTCAGACACACACAGAGGGATGAGCAGTGAGGACACAGGGAGAAGACGGCCATCTACAAACCCAGGAGAGAGGAGAGAGGCCTCAGGAGCCCAGCCCTGGCGACACCTGCATCTCTGACTTTCAGCCTCCAGAACTGGGAGACAATACATTTCTGTTGTTTCAGCCCCCCAGTCTGTGGTATTTGTTGCAGCAGGTGTACCAAACCAACACAGGGCAGAAGGGGTGGACATGGGGCCCAAGAAAATGTTCCTGTCACATCTCCCACAGCAGGAGGTGTCATTGGCCTGCCCTGGCTGTGCAGAGCCTGAGATCCACCACAGAGCTCTGGGAGGCCTGTTCCCCAGATACGGGCCAGCAACTGTGGCTTCAGGGCTCCCCTGGCTTGGCGGGAAGTACGCGGCAGTGTCAGGCTTCCTCCCTCCTTTCTCTCCTGCGGAAGGTCAGGCCTACTACTCTGGTTCATGCTTCTTTTTTCTCTCCCAAATGTTTTCCCTACAAACTGCGCTTGCATGCCCATCCTCTCTCAGTACCTGCTTCTTAGAAGATCTGAACTATTAATTTTGAGCTCCCCCCATTTCACAGATGAGGAAATTGAAGCCCAGTTTAGAGAATTCTATCTGAGCCACATCTCTCTGCCTGTAAGCACCTGCCAAGATAGGCAGCCTTTTTGCAGGCAAGTTCTGTTTGTTCGAACTGTATTTCATAGTTCCTATTGTGAGAAAGATATCTTTCTAACTCTTACTGTGAGAATTTACTCTTAGATAATACATTCATATCTTCCTTCTCTGATTTATTCTCTCCTCGGCACTCATTGCTATCTAACCTCCTTACTGATTTCTCTTGTTTATTGTCTGACACATAAGCACTGCGTGAATGAGTGGATGACCTCAAAATCTCCCAGCCTCCCTGCTCCCAAAGCTGGACAGCAGAGGTCAGAGGGAATGTCTCCCAGCTTGGCATTTATCTCGCCTCATCCTCAAGTGCTGTGAACTTCTCTGGAAGCTTTTCTGCATTAGAAGCCCATGGGGGCGGTTTAGAATGAAAGAGTGAGTGAGCGAGTGAACTGGACCTCTGCGCTCCCCCTAGGTTGTGCTTGGACAGTTGGGCTGGGTGGGAGGATGAAAGCCTGGCAGCCCCGATGGCTAATTTTAGAGAGGTGATGGTAGCTGTCCCGATGGGCCGGGGGCTGGATTGTTTTCAGTGATTAAGGCAGCAGATAACCAAGGCTGAGTTCAAAGTACAGCGTGATGAGTGTGAGTCAGAACCGAGGCAGAAAACGGGTGCAGCGGGGCAATTATCCAGCTCGGCCGTTAGGAGAGGGTCAGGACGTCATTATGTTAAAAAAAAAAAAAAGAAGAAGAAGAAAGAAAGAAAAAGCAAGCAAGCAAGCAAGAAAGGAATCCTGGCAGCCGTCCCCAAGACAGCACTGCTCACAGAGAAACGCCACGGGGGCTTGGAGTTGATGGTTTCAACAGCAAGGCCTCGTGCTGAGAAAATGGTCCTGGAGGCTGGGAGCGGAGCTGCGGCAAAGCTGGAGGGAAGGGAGGCCGTGCATCCTCGGGGAGCCACCGGCTTCTCCAGGAGCACAGCGTGCACTTGGGGCCTCAGAGGTGGGTGGGAGGCCCGGCTGGAGGAGACATCCGTGCTGGGTGGAGGCCACCCCTGTCCAGGGCCACCCGTGGCTGCACGGTGAAGAGGAAGCCCAAGTGCCTGGATCTAAGGGTGGGAGTGACAGCGCCTTCACGGCTCCCTCCCAGCCCGCTGAAAGGGATGGGCCACTTGAGTACCTTCTGGAGTTCGGGCCTCTGTCCAGAACGTTACAGGGCAGCTTGGCTTTGGCTGTGGGCGCTTAGTGACACATTTACTTTCTGAAGTCAACGTGTGACAGGTTTACAGCACCGTACCGGCTTTTGGTGAGCTCCTGCATTACCAAGGTTATACGGAAATTTCTGCCAAATTAAACCCCTATACCTTCTAAAGATGCCTTAAAAAAAAAGTTTATTTTCAGATTTCAATAAAATTGCATGTTGCTGTTGGCAGGCCTTAATGTTTAAATGACAGTCTTAGATGGGATGATTTAAGGGGCATGATAGTAAATTAGAAATAAATTCATTCATTTATTCATTCTTTCATGGCATCCAGTGCCTATTAGATAAGGTAGTGGGAGAGTTGGAGAGCCAGTGGTCTGCCGTCGAGGAAGAAGATGTTATTGCCTGCCGAGGAGCAGGGGTCCTCAAAGATTCTTCCAGCTGTTCTGTGATGGGTTAGACACTGCAGCCACTGGCACGTGTGGTTCTTGAGCACTGAAATGAGCCGAATCCAAATTGAGATGGACTGTCATGGTCACAAACTTGTTGGATTTTGAGGATTGAGCATGAAAGAAGAATGGAAAATATCTCATTAGTTATTTTAAATATTGACTAGATGTTCAAATGATAATATTTTGGTTACATTGGGCTAAACAAAATATATTACTAAAATGAATTTCACCTGTTTCTTTTTACTTTTAATGTGGCTACTAGAGACGAAAATCACATACACGACTTGATTATGTGTTCACAGGGCTGTGTTCGCCCCTCAGAACTCTTTTCCACCTCCAACTTTCCGTGGAAACTTGAAGATATAAACTCTTTTAATGTTTAGGATAGACACAAAATACTATATACAAAGGAGCCTTAAAGAGTTTATCAACCTAGGGCTCTTTGTTGGGAAGTTGGGATGTTTTCCCCCCAAAGGTAAAACTTTAGGTAACAATGGGCGCAAATGTCAGGAGTTGGGATTGTGGAAACCGGTTGTCCACAGTGTGGAGTCTAGTCAAATAATTCCAGAGTGAACGTAGACGGATACTGAATGCGTGGAGAGAGGCCCTGCTCTAGAAGCAGGAAATCTGAGTTTTAGTGTTTTTTCTGCCACTTAGAGGAAGAGCTGAGAAAAAACACCACTTGTGAAAATGCAGTGTCTGTGCAGCTGGGAGTCCTGGGGACTGAACGAGTCTGCAGGCTCTGGGAGAGTGAGGGCAGATTAGAACATTGTTATTCAGATTTTATGAGAAAAGTAGAAATCCCTGAATATAATGTCCCTGAACCCCTGAGCAGGGAGCGCACCAGATTTAGGAAACACGTTAAAAAGTAAAACTAAGACAAACACACAGAAAGACTCGCTATTGTAGCCAAGGACCCCTTTTCTCGCACAAGGACTGAGCTGGAACACGAATTCCAGCCGATCAGTTTCCGGGCTGTCCCTCCCCCTGGGAGCTGCGGGTGGAATGACCCTCGGAGCTCCTGTGCGAGGTGTGTCAGCAGAAGCACACAGGATTATGTTGACAGGTGTCTGGAGGATTCCTAAGCTAAGAGTTAGTGCAGCCTGGGGGAAAATAGAAGGTCCCTCTTGGGTCTCATTTTGGAGTCATTAATCCAGACACTGTATTATTTCACTACATTCGATGGTCTTTTGGGTCTGATTTCCAATCCACAAAAATGAGGACATCAACACTAGGGATGAGAAAGCAAGCTAACGCCGAACACTGTGTAAAATTCAAGGGGCTTTCTCCCTGGAAAAGAGAGGAGTTTGGGTCAGTATCTTCTCCCACTTGAGTTTCCTTTTGTGAAAGATTTAAGCCAAATCGTTGCTTTTACTTGAGTGGCACTGGTTATAAATACTTAAAGTATTTTCATTTTCATTTCATTTCATTCCATAGAGAATTTCATTTTCAGTGTGCGGGGTATCCAGCACGGAGAGTTCAGCTCACCATTTTCTCCTGTCCAACACGGAGAGGCCGTTCATACCAGATCATTCCATGACTCTCCAGTCGAGCTTCCACTCTGTCCTGCTTAGCTTGTGCAGTTGTGTAGTAATTTGAGTTAACTCATAACACATCCTTGTCTATTATGCTTCATGAATTAAAAAAAAAGGACAAAGGGTTTAGACAAATTATTTACTATATATTTTGAGAACACCACTGGGAGCCCCTGGGTTCTGTGGGGTGAGAGAACATCAGAGACAAAAGAGGAAAATTTTAATCTGGGGGAATTTTAATTTTAAATGTAGACATTTTAGATAAATACAAAGTAGAGAGGGCAATGTGTGTCACACTTTCTTTTTTCTTTCATCACAACTATTTTTCATCTTGATTGGTCTGGATGTTGAGGCGTTCCTGAGATTCTGCTGGGTCCACTTACACCTGCACCTACACCCTTCACTTTACTGGGAAACATTTGGACATGTGGGTGTATTTTTCATTTCTTGACCTTTTCTCTAGATGTCAACTCCTAACGTGTCCTAGTCAGCCTATCAACATTTATTCCCTGGAGATTCCTCTTAATAGTTCGGGTATTGGAGGCAGACAGTTGAGTGCAAATCTCATTTGTAAGCTCTGAGACCTTGGGCAAGTTCTCCACTCTTTCTAAACTCATCTGTTAAATAGGCGTAATAATGGTGCCAGCTCACAGGGCTGGGTGAGGATTAAAAGAGATTATGTACATAATGCCCTCAGCCCAGAGTCTGGCAGTCAGTAAGTCGTGGCTATATTTATTGTCTCTCCCTGCCAACCTCAGCCTGGCTTCATATAGAGCAGAGGGCCCGGGAGGCTGAGCCTGTGAGAAATGCAAATTCTCGGCTCCACCTCAGACATTCGCAATCAGAACCTCTGGCCTGGGGACTGGGCGCTCTGTGTGAGCGATTTCTTGGGAGACTTGCATCTCGGCCAGTCTGAGAGCGCCCATCTGGAGATCCTAACGTGTGACTCGCCCCCCGACACTCACCTTGCTCTCTCCCTGCCCCGCCTCATTCCTGGAACAGTCCGCGCTGCAGGTGTGGGAAGAAAGTAAGGTGGGTTCTGGGAATGGCTGTTGACTCAGTACTTCCGGACGGATAGGCTGAGGGTGTGGAGGGGACCGGCCCAGCCCCTCCTCAAGCACAGCCAGCAGCGAGGGGAAGGGAAAGGAATTTATGAGTCTGCCTGCAGGGAGCCAGGGAACATGAACTAGGCCCCTCGGTGCAGAGGGCCCAATCATTTAGTCAAGGGGAAACAAGTCAGCTCTCGGATGCAAACGTGCCAGCCAGGGTGCCCCTGATGCTCCCTCCTACCAGATGCTCCCTCTCTCCCCTCTCACACCCCACCTCTACTGTTCACCCCGGGGAGGGTGTGCTGCCCCAAGACACTCCTGCCCCCGACTTCTCCAGCAAATGTCTGTTCTTAGCACAATCATTTTGTGTCATAGCTGACATATTTACATATTCGCCTCACCTGGGAAGTTGTAAGCTCCCTGAGGCCAGGATTTTATTCATTCGCTCAACCACTACTTACTAAATGCCTGTTATGGCTGGCCAGGCTTTTCCTGAGGGCTGGAGCTATGGCCGGGAACAAGGACCACACGGCCAGCACCCTAGTCCAGGCTACATCACCTGCCAGCCGTGCTAACCCAACAGGCTCCTCACTGGTTTCCTTGTTTCGGCTCTCACTTCCTACTGCCCATTCCTCACGCATCCCCCAGAGAGCACTGACAAACTCAAATCACTTTACTTCCTGCTTAAAATCCCTAACGACTTTCGGTCACGTTTAGAATGGAATCCACACTTCTTTCCACGCCTATGATGCTCTGTATACTCATTCAGATTGTCTCTGCCAACTGTCTGCTCTCACCTCCTTCCTCACAGTTCCTCCAGCCTCCAACCCTGGTCCTGTGCAGCTCGGGCCCTTCCTCCTCTGGGATGCTGCTCCCTGGACCCACCGAGGCCTGCTCCTTCCTTCTCGTCTGATTATTCCACTCACCCACCACATCATCCTGCTCTCCCACTCTGCTTTCATTTTCTCAGTAGTATTTATCATTGCCTAAAATTCTATCGTATTCCTATTATATTAACGATGCATTTTTCACTTGTTTCTATCAGTCTCCTCTAGAATTTAGAAGTTCCCTGGAGGCAGAAACTTCACTAGCCTGTTCCCTGTGCTGTTTCCAGTGCCTAGACTGTGGCTGGCAACCAGGAGGCACTCAGTAAACATTCGCTGAGTGAGCGAACCAGGGAACAGATGACTGGATTTGCAGTTGACAGAATCTCTTGGATTCTGGTCCTGGTGTCAATTCCTTTTTCCTCTGCTCCCTCGGAAGAGCTAGAGGCTTTTGAAATGTTCAGCAGGCTGAAAACATGATTCTCAGTCCTGAAGGTCGGTTAGGGTGTCAAGGACTGAGTCCTGGCGACACTGGCTGGCCCTCATGGAAGTCCTCCAGGATGTCAGGAAGGCACAACACGTGCTACAAAGAGCATTAAGGGAAATTCGCTATTGAATATTAGCCTGGGAATAATAAGAATAAACAGTCACTGGTAATTCTCTTACAGTACAGATACTACCTTAAGGGATTTTTTCAAAGTATTCTTTTTTGGGGGCCAGCCCGGTGGCACAGCAGTTAAGTTCGCACGTTCTGCTTCTCGGCAGCCTAGGGTTCGCTGGTTTGGATCCTGGGTGCAGACATGGCACAACTTGGCACGCCATGCTGTGGTAGGTGTCCCACACACAAAGTAGAGGAAGATGGGCACAGATGTGAGCTCAGGGCCAGGCTTCCTCAGCACAAAGAGGAGGATTGGCAGCAGATGTTAGCTCAGGGCTAATCTTCCTCAAAAAAAAAAAAAAAAAGCAACAAAGTATTTTTTTTTTCCTTAAAGATTGGGCACCTGAGCTAACATCTGTTGCCAATCTTCATTTTTTTTCCTTCTTCTTCTCCCCAAAGCCCCCCAGGACATAGCTGTAGATTCTAGTGCCTCTGGTTGTGCTATGTGGGATGCTGCCTCAGCATGGCCTGATGAGTGGTGTCATGTCCACGCCCAGGATCCAAACCGGTGAAACCCTGGGCCACCAAAGCGGAGCACATGAACTTAACCACTCAGCCACACGGCTGGCCCCACTCAAAACATTCTTTAAGAGTCCAGACAGCAACACAACATGAGTTTGCGTCAGGTTATTTGTCAGAAAGTGCCAAGTCTGGGCAGGTGAGTTTTCCAGAAAAATAAAGCATCAACCTTCTTAATCCTAAAACTAAAACACAAACTTGAAAGTCTTTTTGAGAAGGCTTTTTGAGAGAGGAAGGTCTCTGTCTGAAGTTAGAACAAAAGATGTGATCCCTGAGACTCTCACGTCCGAGTCCTCCTCTCTCTGTCATTTTCCTCTTTCTTCCTTCCTCTTTTCCTCACTTGTGACACGGAAATGTAAAAAGTTCCTTCTTGGCTCGTTGCTTTGAAGTCTCAAAGGGAAAAATAAACAAAGCTCTATCCTATTAGCACACTCCGTGTCTGACAGGTGTTCACTTAAACAATCAGACACACACACACAGAGGCCACCAAGGAGCTGACTTCCCACTTCCCAGCCCAGTGCAATTCTTCCTGATTTTTGCAGAACTCTTTATGCTTAGGTAATATAAAGAGATTTTTACAATTTACCATTATAACACATTGTCAAAAGGAAGCAAGGAGGGGCTGGCCCAGTGGCATAGTGGTTAAGTTCCTGCGTGGGCTCCACTTTGGCGGCCTGGGATTCCCGGATTTGGATCCCAGGCGTGGACCTACACACCACTTATCAAGCCATGCTGTGGTGGCATCCTACGTACAAAATAGAAGAAGATTGGCACAGATGTTAGCTCAGTGAAACCCTTCCTCAAGCAAAAAGAGGAAGATTGACAACAGATGTTAGCTCAGGACCAATCTTCCTCACCGCCCCCCTACCAAAAAAAAAAACAAAGGAAGTGAGGAGATGGAATTATTACCTCATCAGGAGAGTGTTTCTTTAGTCTAACAAAGAAACCATTTTCTTTGACATTTCTAGAAGCTTCTGAAAGAATTTTCCAAATTAACTCAAATTGCCAGTGGTCTGCTTCTGTCTCCTGACGACATCTTCCTTGGAAGAAGACTAAGGTTCTTGATTTCCTTCTACTCGAAGGTACTTACTTTTCAGAAGGACTTTGTACCTCCTATCAGTGATAATTCTTTCAGCTGCAAGTGACAAGAGATCTGATCTAAACAGGCGTAAGCAAAAAAGGGAATATGCTGTCTGGTATAACCAAGCAGTCCAGAGCAGAGCAGGTATGGCTTCAGGTATGACTTTATTCAAGCCTCAGATGACACTACCTCAGGCCACGTTGTCTCTTCTTTTCATGGGTCTCCTCCTACATACACGGTGGGCTCTCCCTTTGCAAGATGATTGTCAACAGCTCTCAAGGTGAGGGTCTCCTGGTTTCCAATACAGCAGAAAAAAGGTAAGATCTTTGGCTTGGCATTCCCAGGCAAAGTCTCATTGCATCTCATGGTCTTTGAGCCTGTCCCTGAACCAATCATATGGCCAGGGCTAGATGATATGCTGATTGGTTTAGACCCAGGTCCTGTGATCCACTCCAAGCCAGTCAACTCCCCCCGAAGCCAATGGACTGAGCCTGCGGGACTGGATGATCTGTGGGGGGATCTGGGGACAGTCACCCGGAGAAAAGAGAGGCTGGACAGCCAAAGCAGCAGATCTCTGTTGCTGACTAGCCACACTTTCATAGACAAGACAGACTAGAGGAAATGGTGGAATGGACATTATTTCTAAGGAATCCTATAAATATGTTCACACTTTCTTTTGAGGTAGATTTAGCCAGAAGTATAAGTTTCCCAACTGGCATATCATCAAAATTACTGGGGGATTTTGATTCAATAGGTTTGGGATGGGACTCTCTGAGTGTCATAACTCTGATTATTTTTAAGATGATCCCAGGTGATTTGGAAGACCAAATGGAGTTGGGCATCCTCTGGTGCACCCCTGTTTTTGGCAGGGCCAGCTCCAGCAAAGGGGTGAAGTAGGCCAGCTTGTCTGTCTGACCTCTGTCCCCACTGCCTGCAGAGTCAAGCCCAGCGCTCTCAGCCTCCTGCGGTCTGGACTCATGCAGCCTTTCTGGTTTATCTCTTGCTGTTCCTCGACACGTACTTTTCATTTGTCAGACTGGAAAAGTCGCTTACCCAAAAATGCTCTGTTCCTTTCCCACTCTCCTGTCCTTGCTTATGTCATTTTCTTCTGAAAGTCCTCATTTTCTACCTGTTGAAATCCTAACCATTATTGAAAACTCATCTCAAATTCATCCTCTTTGAAGTCTTTGCTGATCACCCAGCCGGGAGCAAACTCCTACCCTAGGTCCACATCTCGTAGGTTCTGTCTTGCACTGCAGTGTTTCTGTGTGGGCTTCACTTCCCCTTTCAAAACAATAAGCCCCTGGGGGACAGGGACTGTGCTGTCCCTTGAGTCCTGGATCTTCAAAGGTCCTACTATAGTGTTTTATTTGTAGGAGGCATTCAATTCATTTCTGTTGTTTGGATCAAAGTAGAGTGAATGGAACCCTCAGATCGCCCCTTCCTTCCTCCTTCTCTCTGCTTTGGCATTTAATCTTTACCAAGATGTCTGTCCTTGGAAAGCTCGAATGAAGTCCAGCCTAATTTGTTGACAAGGCCTTGAGATGTTACTTCTGCAGGGTTGCTTATGTTTTAAGAGGAGGTTGCTGGAAGACAAAAAATGTTAAAGTTGTAATGGTAAACAGAAGCAGAAGGAGAGACCGGGGTACAGAATTCAGGGACTCTCTCCTTTGTGAGAGCTCCTTCGTTTCCCGAATTAGCTCTATTACAAAGTGAGGGCAGATGCACATGACAATGAAAATACTAGACTAAAACTTAGGAGGACAGATAGAGATTCCTTTTTAAATAAGATAGGAAACCCAGAAATCATTTTAAAAGCAAAAAATTTGTATGGATTTGACTACCCAAAAAATTAGAAATATCTGCAGGGTGAAAATATACCTTAAACGAAGTTAATAAATGACAGAAGAAAAGATTGATAATATTTATAACCACAAAA